TTTCAATTTCTCCTAACTCACACAACAAACAAACTCGATCTTCCTCTGGAATGGTATTAAACCTGCCGGTCTCTAAAGCTAAAGGCAATGTTCCTGAACGTAGTTGAGCGCAGAGGGATCTTTGTCTTTTGGTTAAATTAAATTTAGCATAGGCTTCTACGCTGTAGCAATCCTTTATGAGACAATACGTTCTTAGTTTTGGTTTGCACCATATATCCACAGACCTTTTCTCTTTGTACATTAGAAACATATTAATTTTTATCTCCTGAATATCACAACTCATTTAGAAAAATAAAGGACATATTATTCTTATGGAATACAGATTTTATCTCCTTTGCCCATGGGTGACAATGGCAGGTATCCCAAATAAAAATCTTTTTTGTGAGTCTCTGATCCGACATCTTTACAAGTCTATTCCAAAGCCGAAGCATTTCACATTTATGTCTGATGTTTGGAGGCTCCCATCCCATGTCTCCATTCACAGCGAGGACTGGCGTTAATTCATGGACTCCCAAGAAGGACCTCAGAGCTCTCTGATGTACAGAATTGCAAATTAGATGTTCCGGGAACCCCCAGACACCGGCGGCATAATCAGACACTGGACACACATGATAGAGTTGTGTATAAATCTGAAATCCCAGATTACCACAGTGTTTAACGTTGTTCAGTACAGACTACCTTTGACTACCTGCCCAGTGCTTGTTGACAACAACACTGAAGCCGTTTTCTTAAAAAAATATTCAAAACAGCCTGCTATTGATATCTTACTGAGTTCCCTCTCACATATGTTCCTCCCAATTTGAAGTTCTCTCAGTTGGACTCAGGGTCTCAGGAGGCAAGACATGACATAAAAGAGATGCTGCAGAAATCCAAGATGGTGGACAAAGTGTATAGACTTGTATCTTTGTTGTAGTGGTATCAAAAGAGGTATCAATTCTGTATATCCTACTAGGGGCGGCAGTAGCTCAGTCTGTAGGGACTTGAGTTGGAAAGCAGATGGGACATAGCCTGTTGTGGACCAAGTCTTGAAACTGAAAATCTGGTAGCTGGAAAGGTGCCCTTGTGAGCAAGGCACTGAACCCCCCCCGTCACTCTTAGATCTCCCTACTGCATGACCATAGGATCCTACTTGTGCATATGTGTGTAGCATGTTCCACAACAGAGTGTTAAATGGAATTTCCTTTTGCAGGATTAATAATAGATATCTTCTTCTAACATATCAAAACTGAAAAATCTGGTATTGTGACAACCCTGTTATGAATCAGCTTCATAACATGCACAAAGATCGCACATGTGCCGCGCCTGTGGCCTGAGTTAAATGACAGTGAATTTTCCTGAATATTTCCTGATGCGTTCCCACATCGGTTCATCCCGACTTCAAACGGATATTACTCCGTGTTTATGACTTTGGATCAAGAGTTGAGCTGGTGAATGCAAACAAGTGTTCTGATTAATACATCACATATAGTCCTAGACAACAATAAATGTATCTTAACTTGTAGTATTTTGATGAGCTCTGTCGTTGTACCGTCATAAGAAATTATCATTTTGTATCCACCCATAGTCAGATGGAAATTTGACATAAGTTTTTAGCCTAATTCTTTTTTTTCCAAGTGATGTCATCAAATGCTGCAAAAATCAGACAAACAAAAAGTGGGATTTAGCAGTGATTTGCCTGGCTAGGTAACCACCTCCAACAGCCTTTTCATATTGCATGTTAGTAATCAACCAATACACAGACATTTGGTAGGAAAACTATTGCAGGTTTTTGCAGTCAAAACTTTTGGTTTGTATGTAACTTGAACGATTATTTAATTCATTTTATGCTGACAGGAAGACAAAAAAATTCATGACCTCACAGACTTTTTTTTTTAGTTGCAAAGCTAAGGTGACTCGAATTCTAGACTCTGTAATAAGCCAGCCGAGACCGTTTGGGGTTTTATTACAGAAGCATGGCAGTGTTAAGATATGGCGCAAGCTATTGTATATGTTATAATGAAGGACCTGCCCCTCAGGAAATCTGACTTCTGCATCACTAGCTGCTTCTGAATCAGCCTGGACACAGCACTGCGCTGTTGATTTACCAGCTGAACAACAATCACATGATTTCTTAGCGTGGCCTGTGAGGTAGAACTCAAAAGAAAAGAGAGTCTGCCTTCTTTTGTGCGCCTGTGTCTGCGTGTGATTGATTATGCTCGCTTTGTTGTGTGTCTGACGGAGGTGCTACATCTGTGCTTTTATGAAAGGGAATCCAAAATGTGTGTGTGTGTGTGTGTGTGTGTGTGTGTGTGTGTGTGTGTGTGTGTGAGTGAGTGCCTTTGAATGTGTGTAAGGTGGAGTGGGAAGGTTGGTGTGTGCTTTCAAGTGTAAATATAATGATGAGTTATCGATTCGACAAAGTTAGATTGAAATGAACACACGGTTGCACTTCATAATGAGCACTCGTTCAGCTGTGCGAGGTGATGCTAAGCAGAAGAGTTGATGGTAAACAGATGTATCAGAGTTACTTTTAGGGGCAACTTTGAATACAGATTCTGAATTTCATGTGTCTATATAATGAATAACTGTTGAGACAAAAATACTTAACCCCCCCCCCCAAAAAAAAAACAAAAAACATAATGACTGAAAAGGTGAACTCAGTTTTGTATCTGCGCTACTATTCCTGCCTCCATCATGAGCGAGCACATACATCATTCAAGTTTTTATTTCCAGTCTAGAAGCACTTAAGCATGTGTCGCCGAGACAGGACATAACTTTGCTCTTAGCAGTCTTTTTTTTTTTCTAGAGTGAAAGCCTCTGATACATTCCATAAACTAATCATTTCTCCCCATTGTGCCGATTCAGCTGCCGTCAGACTGACACTCTGAGAGAAAATTCTGACTGGAGTGTGTAATGAGCAACTCTGTCCACGTGTGCCCTCCTCACTGTCCTCAGACGGACGGCTGTCATGCTGTTCAGCAAAGGTGTCACCAGCATGCAAGCAGTGGAAATAATGCCTCTCTTTAATTAATTATTGACGGGCTGCTTTAATTGCTTCTCTTCTGTTTGCCTGTCCTGTAGGCTGAGTGACTTTAATGTGCAGCATTTTTCATTTCTTTCTTATAATTACTTAGAAAGGAAGATTTTCTCTTTCACTAGAGGTTGGATGGTAATGATACTTTTAATTATAGCTTGGCATCATTAAAATGGATAGATAAAAAACATTAGTTTGCGAAAGAATCCACTTTGTTACACATTTGCAGTGCAGCGCACGTCAAACATGTTTCTCAACATTGAGGCATGTACATTCTGAAGATGACTAGTGTGTGATTGCTGGTTAGCCAAAGGCTTTTAGCTTTTAGTAAGGATGCTTTTTTTTGCCAGTGATTCTGTGACTCCTGGAGGGCTGAGTGCTCTCCTGACATGGGCGATTTAAAAAAAAGAACTTGTGGACCTAAAATAACATTCCTGCCTCACAGTCATGTTCGGTCTGAACATGCATGTCGTCTTCTAGGCAGTCTGTTTGTGTGAAGACATTTATGGTTGTATAAAGAGGTGCAATGATAAGTCGCCGTTGGCAAAAATCCATGACAAAATTGCGGGTTTAATTGTCAATCAAGTTGGTTACGTCATTGTGCATGTTTTTATAACTCTCTCTGCTGAGAGTTACGTATGCAAAAAAGGGACAGGGAAAAAAAATAAAATAATAATTGCTTACAAAAAAATGTGTTTAATTCGGGCCACACAATCGCGTTCTCAAACTTCTAAACTCTGAGAGCATTAACCCTCGATGCTGCAAATGAGTGTTAACCTTTTCCTGCCTCAGAGTCCCGATCGTAGTCAGAAAGCACACGGGAGACTTATTGGTTTGCTCCAGGGCTGAAGTTTTAGCTAACTTCAGGGCTAACCCCAGTCACTTTTCATTTTAATGCTGATAGATAAATAAGAGCCATTAAGTTTTAGCACAAAACTTTATCCGATTAGTCGATGAATCATTTCAATAATCGATGGCTAGTCGACAATCAAAATAGTTGTTGGTTGCAGCAGGCCTAAGTGTTTTTCGTAATGTAAAGTGTCACATATCATTTCTCCTACAAACAATACAGCTGAAAACGCAGGCTACAATTCGATGAAGAGATCATTTTGTAGGATTCTGTTACACACCATGCTATTGATTTTGTGCAGTGTAGCTATTTCCTGAAGAGCTGAGATTAAGGGAATTATTGCCAGAGGCTCATTTCAGTTTCACTTTTCCTCGCCCTGACAGGGACAGTAAAAGCTTCCATTCTTTACAGCGCTCCTACTTAAGCTGAGGGCTTGAAGGTTTTCACTGGGTTACCTCGACGATGAGGCAATATCCTGATTCATTCCAATGCACGTTTAAGCACATATTTCTCTGTCATTTGGAAAGAGCTGCTTCATTAAAGTTGTGACACTCACACACATAGAAAACATGACTATTTTTACTACCTTAAATAATTTCCCTAAAGTTCAGTAAAAAGTGAAGACATACAGTCAGGGATGTACATTTTCATTAAAGCCTGAAAGAAAGAAATGGATTAGTGAAATGTTATCTTTTAATTGGATTGGCATCGCTGGTGGATAGCTGCACACAGCTCTGCATCTGTTTCAGTGTGATACAGATTAGAATGTTTATTTATCTCTTTATTTCTTTCCCTACTGTTAGCTGTTGATATTTGCTAACAATGTTAGCAATGTTAACAAACGTTTTAAAGCTAAAGTTATTCTGAATCATTCAGAAAGCACAATTCTGAGAAGAAGTAAGAATGTTGGTTTGTTGTTCTCCCGGTTTGAAAACTTTTCCCTCATGGAGTGTTCGTCCAATCATCTTTGTTGATCTCAGGACCAAGTGGTTGATCCCCATAGTGGCCTCGTAACCTTTCAGCTTTTGGTCCGACAAAGTCTGCATTTCATCATCGTTGTATAATAATAAATGACTGAATGTATCTCAGCCATGTGAAATGACCTCTCCTCTCTCTCTCCGCTCCTCGTCTCTTAAGGTTACCACCCTGGTGAACACCAGCAACAAAGGGCCATCCAGTAAGAAGAAGGGGCGCTCCAAGAAGGCTCACGTCCTGGCAGTCTCTGTGGAGCAGGCGACCCAGAACTTTCTGGAAAAGGGGGAGCAGATCGCTAAGGACAGCCAGGACCTGAAGGAGGAGCTCATTGCTGCTGTGGAGGATGTTCGTAAGCAAGGCGAGTGTGGTGAATATTGCATTGTGCTTTTAGAGTTGTCCTTTATGTTCCTGATATTCACCACTACATATCTTGTAATCCCTCCTTGCCTTCAACAATATTATTATGCTTTTGTCCTTCATAGAAAAGTATCTGTCTAACAGTTTTAATCTATTGTATGGTAAGGTGTATGACAGGAGGGTTGCTTTGAACTGTCTTGTGACACATATGAGGTGAAGATTCTGTGCAGAAATATGAACAATATATAACAATATTTACAATATCGCCGCTGTCTGCGGCGAGCTCATGGCATCCTTAAAGACTCCTCCCACCCTGCCCACAGACTGTTTACCCTGGCGCTTCAGAAGCCTCCGGACCAGAACCAGCAGACTGAGGAACAGCTTTTTCCCCAGAGCTGTTTCTCTACTGAACTCTACCCCCCGAACTCTGAACTCTGTCTCTCTCTCTCTCTCCCTCTCTCTCTCCGCCCCCTGCTGACCCCCCCCCACACACACACATCTCTCATCCATCTGTATTATTGTATTATAGTATGTTCATATTATGTCCATATTCTTTATATTATCTGTAAACTAGTATAGCATGCTCACTGCACCTTAATCTGTATATTATAATCCTAAGAATACACTTATTTTGTAGCATTACTTATTTATAGCATTTATTTATATTTATAGCATCCCATTAATCCAGCCATCCAGATATACCTAATAATTCACTTTTTTTTTCATCTCAACTGGTGGAAATAGTGCAGCAACAAAACCTACTCTTGTGTACAAATATTGACTTTGTGAGACAGAACCGAAGTGTTTTGGTAACTTATTGTAATGGATCACGATAACAGAGCTCTTCATCCTTTCTCCCCTTTCCGTACGGATAAGAAGTGAAACATAAAAAAAGAAAAATAGAAAGCTTGAATTGTACCTTAAATTAAGTATTCAGCTACAGCCAAGAAAATCACAGCACATTGGAGCAATAATGACTGCTGGCATCCTTCTCTTTGAAAGGTCTGGAGTGCAAACTTGATTTTAAAGCGATGAAGGCCACACAGGAGAATGATTGAAAAAAAAAGAAAGAAGTAATGTTTGGAGAAAGTATAAAGTGCTCTGAAAGTCAGAACTAGTTGAACGTCTGCACAACTTTAGGCAGATGCTGAGTTAAGAGTGGCAAGGCAAATCCATTAAATATAAAAGATTAGTAGCCATTAGTTTTGAGCTTTACTTGGAGCATGCAGCCTCATGAATGTAATGAGCCTAATTCTTGGCTTGTTTACCCTAAAGTCATGCATCGTTAAAGCTTCGACTGTCTGTGATGGTGGGGAGCCTCTCTGAATTTTAAAACATTAGAGATGCCTGTTCTCATTAGCAGCGATTCGGGAAATCTCTTCAACTTCTGCACGCATGCAACTATTCACTTCTCTGGCGGCTCGGATCAGGCAATGTCAAGGAGAGCGACCAAAGTTTTTCAGATCGGCTGCGTGCGAGTCAGCGAGCTTTCATATGGAGCAAATGTTCGTCCCCAGAAAGGAATTGGATTCCTCCCCCCCGGTTCAATATCTACATCAGCAGAAAGCGCAAATGGAGCTCAGCGTACAGTACGTCATGTTGTAGCCAGCCTCACTTTCTGCACTGTCAGCTCCACTTTGGCCGCCGGTGCTGTTGAACATTGACTTGACTGCGTTTGCACACGGCTCTTTTGAAGCGTGAAATAGACGGTTGCCGTACAGGTCATCACATCAGCTGACATCACAATGGACAGGATCAATCTTCATGCAAGGAAAAAAACAGAGAGGAAAAAAAGTTGATGGGGAAAATAGACTTCACTTTTAGGGCAGGGTGTGGCATACTTTAACACTTCCATGTTCGTACTGTATGTGCGGATCAGTTCTTCTCGTGAATCCTTACCCTGACCTTTTGTGAGTCTTTTATTGCAAGCCTGTGTCCTCTTAAGAAGACAATGGAGATGAAAGTTAATATTCCACATCTGCTAACCTTTAACTGCCATTATGGAGAAATATCGGCATGCTCCGAAGCTCTTCAGTATACACAAGTGGACTGCAGATTGGGCTCACTCATCACTTCTTTCTCACTTTAAAAGCATTATAATAACATGTCTGTCTGGTTATCAGAGAAACAAGTTTCGTAATTAAAACTGTGCAATTAAAAGTCTAAAAATATGCAGTGCACCACGTTTTCTGCACACTTGACAAGACTTTTTAAACATTTTTTACAAAGCAAGCCAAATGGGACCATGACTACTTAAGGTCATCGTGAGCAGCAGAACCCCTTTAATTCTGTCAGCAGCTCATGAGACCTCTGTCATCATGACCTCATCGTCACACACACTCCCCTTATCCTGGCATGATTGAACCACAGATGCTGATTTCAGAGCTCAGAGGGGCTTGGTAATCAGGCCGTTTGTTCTGTCATCCTTCAAAAGCTCATCACTGGGCCAGACACACTTCTGACACAACAAGCACCAATCTGTGGGCCAGATTTACTAAAGGTTTGAAAAAAACTTGATACCACCAGCAAAAAAAAGTGCTATCTGATCTACTAACTGCGCGCAGTGAGGATTGCGTCTTTCAAATGAGCAAAACAACCACCACAACATCCGTGATGTAAACCAGTAGATCACGCAAAAGCCTAACTTAAATAGTACCGCCTCCACAAGGTTTGCACCTGTTGTCATTCACAAATTTTCTTCGTAGATCACCCGCAAAACGCCCACCAACCAAACGTTCAAACTTTTGGAGTGAACACGCAATTTAGTACTCTTTAATTGGGAGCTTAGTAAATCTGGCCCTATGCGTGTGTGGGTGTGTGTTTTCTTTTTTTGGCTAGAGCTCCTTCCTTGTGTATGTATGTACGAGTCTGTCTGATGCATTTCCCTCTTTTTGGGTTTTGTGTAGGTTTAAGACTGTTTACTGTATCACAACACTAAACAACTAATAGCTTTATTTAACTCGATTTTTCTAATCTATGCTAAGAGAGCCGCCAGTGTTGACCCCCTTCCAATTTGCTAATAACCTAGCTGTAAGACTTTTTGGATCATTACGTAGGAGGTAGCTTGTTTTCTCACCGTTGTTTTGTTATATAGAAGTAGAAATATTAGTCTAATTTAAAGCTGAGGTGTCTTGGCCAGTTCTCAGAGAAGAGTTTTAATCCCAAGAGATTCTGTGGTTAAATAAAGGTTAAGTGAAAGAAATCATAAATTCAAATCAGAACTGGAAAAAGGCCAACGTTGGTTCTTGAATCTTACCACAAAAGAATAACTAAACATTTTTATGCACTTTCTCTCAAATTCTCAAGATGTGAGAGATGAGTTTTACTCAGAAACGAGACAGAATGAATGCTTTGTGCTCTGGCCCTTAGGTGAAAAGGTTTAAGAGAGGTCATAACTAAACCACTGTGCAGAACATTATGTGGAGAAAAGACTCTCATGAATATTCTGTCAGGCTGAAAGGTTGAATGTCCACTCTTTTATGAAATCTCTGGTTGCATGGTTAAAGCAAACTTTAGCCACTTAAAAAAGTGTCTGGGCTCTGAATGTCATGAAGAGATTGAAGAAATTGTTTTATTTTCAGTGCCAACACAAATAAAAGAAAAAAATTACCAGTACTGTTTTTTTTACACAAATTAGCATACTTTGTCTTTAATTGCTGTGCACTGTATGAACTGACAATGACGCATACTCACACAGACAACAACATATTAACCGATACAAGGTGCAATATTCCTCATATCACTCTTTCCACTCACACACAGTTTGCTCTCTTTTTCCTCCTGCAGGAGAGACGATGCGTATCGCCTCGTCAGAGTTTGCCGATGACCCGTGTTCCTCTGTGAAGCGTGGCACCATGGTGAGGGCCGCCCGCGCCCTGCTCTCTGCTGTCACCCGCCTGCTCATCCTCGCCGACATGGCTGATGTCATGAGGCTGCTGGCTCACCTGAAGATTGTGAGTGCGGCTGTCAAATGATCTGAAACAAAGATTGAGTAGAACGTGCATTTCTCAAACAGTAGTTCATGTGTTTAGTTATATGGAGCTGAAAATCCCTTCATAATACCCTTTTTTTCATCTGCTTTGCATGACATAAAATGACACAAGTGATACAATCAAGTGCATTGTTTATATGTGCATGCACAGTGTCCTGATAGGTGCGCTTACATGTTAGACAAAAGCCTTCTTGGTGCAGTGTAGTCCACAGAAGCGATGTCTGCTTTTTATCACAACCTCTGCACACATTAGCATATAGATGAGGCACGGAGGAGTATCCTGGGAACACACATCTGATTTTTTTTCGTGTATTAATATCATACCCCTGGCCTGCCCTGGTGTGATTAACCACACATACCCACACGACTCAGTGTATAGTCAGCGGAAGAGCATAAGGGTCTTCGCTTTGAAAGTGTGCGAGAGGCTTTTAAAGACAAGTTAATACAGAGTGCTAGAAAGAACGATATGCAAGTGGTAAGATCTGAAACACTCAGACCTTCCTTATTCACTTACAATTCCTCTCTCTCTCTCACTCACACACACACACACACACACACACACACACACACACACACACACACATTCAGTCCTTCTTTTGGGCTTCATTCTTGAAGCCCACTGAAGGGCTTAACTCAAGCCACTATAAGCTTGCCATCAAAGGCCACTTAAAAGTTATCTCTCTCTCCTCTCTCTTTCCCATTACATCTTATAGCATTGCTTTCATTAGGGAGAGAAAGAAGTACAGAATTAAAATGTAAAAGGGATGCAGATCGCTGAAATGAAACCCATTAAAATCGCCCAGCTTATTTGTTATTGTCTTCTTAAAGCTGGCTGCAATTACACAGGGAAGAGATTGTTTTTCACCAAATGTACAGTTAAATTCATGCTATGTAAGGTTTATTTTTTTACTTACAATACTTCAAATAATAAATGCCAGTTTTCAGGTGCAGAGTTTTGGGAAGTTCCTGTATTTATGTGTGTCTGTGTGACAGGTGGAGGAGGCCCTGGAGGGAGTTAAGAACGCGACCAATGAGCAGGACCTGGCCAACCGCTTCAAGGAGTTTGGGAAGGAGATGGTGAAGCTTAACTATGTGGCGGCCCGGAGGCAGCAGGTAAACTGGCAGCCCTCTGTCTCATGAAGTGTCTCTCTCACAGGAAGTGATTCAATCCCATCCTGACTGAAGTGTCACCTTTAAGCACGGAGAGTTGACATGCAATAAAGCTCCTAGAAGAGCGTCTTTACTGATTTCTTAACTGTGGTTCTGTGGCTCATTTGTTAAGAGTCGGTGGTATCAGAACCGGAAGGTTGAGGGTTTGATCCCAAGCTCTTGCAGACACATATTCGATGTGTCCTTGGGCAAGACACTTAACCCCAAGTTGCTCCCGCTGCTTCGTCGGCAGGGTATGAATGTGTATGAATGGATAAGTTCCTCTGATGGACACTTACATAGTCTAATTAGTGTGAATGTGTAGACGTCACCTGTGTTGTTAAAGCGCCTTGAGTAGTCAGAAGACTAGAAATTTCTATTTAAGCTTAAGTCCATTTACCATTTGCGTCTCTACTGTGCTCTTAAAGGGACAAAATAGCATGCGATTAATCGAGAAAAAAGTGAATGCATAAATTTCAGACATAAATTAATTGAGATTAACTAGTTAATGCTGACCGCCCTAATATGAAGATATCATGTGTGCTTTCTGTTATATGTATATATGAAGTAAAGTTTAAGTTACAGCTGATGGATACTAGAGCGTGTACTTTGTAACATAGTGGAACTAACAGCATTAATTATTACTCTATCTGAGCAGTGTCAGACTAAATATATAGGCAGTGATGTGTTCTGGAAATCTCTGTTTTCAGTTGCATTTTAAATGACTTTCCACTTGAGGGCTTCTTCGACCCAGGAGGTTGAAACATGAAAGTGTTGGAATATATTTTTTTTCCATCATGGCCTGCAGTGTGACAAAAAGCTTTTAGAAGAGTTTTTTTTCTTATAAGTGTCATGTTGGCAAACATCCGACCTGCTGTAATGTCTCAGAGCAAACTCACTGAACAGAATTCTGTTCAGCTACAGGGTTTCTGATCTGCTGACACCACCTCTAACTTTGTGCTGTTGGAACAACACCAATTTATCACATGGTACATGAACTTCTGTTTTGACAAGTAGTTTCTGTATCCAGTTTTTGCTCTGTTTGGCTGGATTTTGAACAAATAATGGCATCAAAGTGTTGTCTTTTTCAGCTCATGATGTAACTCCAACATTTTCAGAAATAGGGTTTCTTCCTTCCCAAGTACACACTTTCTTCTGTGAGGACTGACAACAAGTGGAAAGAAGTGCTAAAGTGAGAGTCTTTTGTCACCCTCGCAGGAACTGAAGGACCCACAGTGTCGAGATGAGATGGCAGCAGCACGTGGCGCCCTGAAGAAGAACGCCACTATGCTGTACACAGCCTCCCAGGCTTTCCTGCGCCACCCAGATGTGGCGGCAACACGTGCCAACCGGGACTACGTGTTCAAGCAGGTTCAGGAGGCCATCGGAGGGATTTCCAGTGCCGCTCAGGCCAGCTCACCTACTGATGAGAAACACGGACACGCTGGCATCGGGAGCTGGCTGCTGCCCTCAATGAATTCGATGTGAGTCAGAAAGCATCCTTTTTCTCCTTTTTAAATATCACATTACACATACTATACACGTCTGGAAAGTATTCAGACACCATTCCACATGGTATCTAAATCTGAATCTGCCCGTCAAATGTCTGTTGAACTTCAGACCGGGGCACACTTCATTCTACTTATGTGTTCAAGAGAAAGATGGATGGTAAAGAGCATGCCAAGACACATGGTGGTTGTTCTGGAAATATCAGGGCTATTCCACCATACAGTATATTGATTTCAGAACTTTTCCCAAGTTGAAGCATTTGTACTCAGTTGTTGAAAAATGAATATATACTAGTTTTCTTTTTGTAATTGGAGTACTGTAAAACACTCTTCAATGCAAACTCATTTGAACACACTTATTTTTCTGGTGTGTCTCAAAGCTTAAAAATCAAGGCAATTGAATGCAGTAACACTCACAACAACATAACTTGGCAGCAATATTGTCTGTCAGTGTCTGATAGCCAAGATGACTGATGCGCCATCTGTCATTTACCTTTCTACCCAAAACAAGAAACACGCATAATTAGTTATACGGGAGCTTTTCCTCCAAGACCTGATCGAAACAATCTCATCAAGTTTAACTCATTTTTCATTCTCTATGGTGTGCAAATAAACATTCCCACTTTCTATTGAGACACATTCATTATACATTAAGATGACGGCATGGTAAATCAGGATTCTTCTTATCTGCACAAGTTATTTGGTAACTCCCTGTGTTGATGTTTCTACTGCGACTGTCACACTGACACACCTGATGTGAATAAACCCTCTTGTCACACTGTCACAATGACTTGTACACTTGTTACCTACAGAGAGAAATATCTCTGTCTCATGTAATATAATGCTTCTCTTTTACATTTAATCAATAATTAATTACTGTGCTTTGATGCTTACCCTGACTCAATCTAATCTACACGCAACAACAAGCCGAACTCACCTGTGATCAAAGCTTGATTCTCTGCTGCCACCTAGTGGTTGAATGGTGGTGGTGAAGAGGCTGGTAGCTCTTGAATGTTAAATTAAGTTTGTTTACAGGTCAGGACATTTAGCTTGTGCTGGTTATTGGTCAGGGTTTTGAGCGCTGCTGTTTTCCTTCACAAACATCCTTTTTGAAACATGTGAATTCAAACAGTGTCCATTAAGAGCTGCAGTCCTCTAGCTCCTGAGTCAAAGGCTAAGGGAATCACTAGTTTAAGATTAAAAAAATAAAAATAAAAACATATTTTGATATACTGTATTCATGTATGTATTAGTTTGCTTAAACTTTTTCAATATTAGGCTAATTGTCAATCAATCAACTGATCATCCTTTAATTATGCTCAAGAAATCATCATTTACAATAACATCAAGTCAGTTACATAAGTAATTCAAGTAAGTAAGAAGCAATTATTTAAAAACAAACAGAAGAACAATTGAGATAAGATCTTTAAAAACATGAAGTTGGGCATATATCCTGACACATAAGTTAGAACAGTTAAAAGCGTAGAATAAGATTCCAGGTATTAGGTAAAGACTATATACTATAATAGTTCAAGAGGTTCAATGATTAAAATGGAAAAATAAGTAAATATAAGGGCACACTTATGTAAAAAATAACAAACAAAAGTTGGAAGGATTAAAATCTTTTTTTTTTTTTTTAAATGTCCAAAAATCGAAAGTGCATTTACATGGAGCAGCTGCTTTAAGTTGTCGCAGAAGTCCGGTGCATAAAAAGAAAAAGCAAGTATCTCATTTGAGGAACATGTAAAAGGAACTCGTCTGAAGAGCGTGTGTGACAATGGCCGACTGAGGAGTGAAGAAATGATGTGAGTTGGGAAGGTAATTTTTTATTTTTTAAAGGGCTTTATTCAGCGTATTTATATAAAATAATGTCAAAGAGGGACACGTCTTATCTGGAGACAAGACTACCCAATATATACTGACACATATAGAAAAACTGCTGCACATGTTCCTTTAAGACTCCAAACATTACTGCAGAATTAAACAACAGACTTTGCAATTAAAAGATAATGGTTAAAATGAGACTCATAAAAAAAAAAACAGATGCTTCAGAGATTACACAACAATTACATCATTTAAGATACATTTTCTTTCTCTGGCTGCAATGAAAAGAAGTGCACCTTTTCACTTCATCATCATTTAATGTTAATTGTCGCTGCATGCAACTCATAGAACTGCCCTCTGTGATTGTGTTTACTGTGGTGTGTGCTCCATCAATCACTACATCCCCACATTATAATCACTCTAACTATATAAGCATTCAATTGTCTTTTACAAGCCCAAATTGACAGTGCTATGTGGAATCATTAGAGAGTATACCCAGAGCACCTTAGCAATATTCAGTTTGATGGAAAATGAAGCTCTATACACAATCCCCGCCGGTCTATCATTGGCAGCAGCAGCAGCAGCAGCAGCAGCAGCAGCAGCAGCAGCAGTACCTTTTGTTGTTACAACAGTTTATTTTGAGGTATTATAATAGTTTTGCACTGATTATGTTCTGTTTATTTGATCAATTGTCCTCTAACTGAATCACAAACTACCCCTTTTCCCCTCTGACTTCAGTAATCTTTCTCTAAACCCTTTGATTTGGATCTGGCAACAAAAATCAGATTGGCTTTTTGTTTTACACCCGGCATTTTCTGATACACAAAATACACTCACTTGAACCGAGCTGAACTTTAACTCACCTGAGGACAACTTCACTGAGATACCACAGATGTATTTGGGCTCCGTTTAAAGTAGAAGATACTTGCCTTGTAGTTTCATTTAGGTAATAGGTGTGCCTATTTTCATAGGACCTGAGAAGGACCTTAGAGTATTTAGTGAGGGTCAAGCAAAGAAACAGAGGATTAAATGGGCCCTGGTGCTTATTTTTTTAAGGCTTGAGGTCTTCCACATACAATCGCAGACACACACACACACACACACACACACACACACACACACACACACACATAAAAACATAGGCCCATAGCCATGGTGGAGACAGTGAGGTAAACCAAGTGAAGTTTGGAACACAAATATTAGTCAGGTTGATGACAGCTGGGCTTGAACCAGTTTTTTTTTTTTTTTTTTTTTAATAAAACATTTGCACTTATAAAGCAAATACCTTAACAATAACAAATAGAAAAGTTTTTAATCTTGTCATGTGAGCTTTCTTACCTTCACTGCAGCGTGTTATACAAGCACAGTGTGTTAGCGTAGCTGGTACCAAATAACTTAAAAGAACTTAAAACAAAGGCTGTGAACTGTTTCACTTAATTTACTGCATTTGTAAAAGTTATTCTTATTTACATATTATTTATACTAAGCTGCTGGCTTAAAGAAAAAAAAAACAGCCTATCTTGTCTTTTGAAGTATTGGAATGAGTTGAATCCAATCGTCAGAGGGAGAGGAACAGAAACAGAATCAACCACAGTTCAGTGAGGTGTAGTGAGATAATTAAGTAACTGTGCCCTTGAAAACCTTTCTGTCACTGCTCTTGAATCAACATCAAACTATATTTGAAAATATGGACACATACTTTTTATGTAACTGTGCTGAACCTTTTCTTTTTTAATGGTAAAAAAATTAACGTAAAGACAAAGAACTCCAATCTTAAAAAGTATCCATAAGAGTAGCTGCATTGTTAAGATATCCATTCACAGACATGTTAAGGTTTCATCTCACACATGCAGAGAATCACATCACATCTTTCATGTATGCAGCTCGACTTTAAATAGACAGTATTAAGGTGTCTATTGAGAAACTCTTTGAGTAGGTTCAGTTTGGAGGACACAACACTCGTGGGAAAGGGAAAAAAAGATGCAAACTCTTGAATAGTTTAGGGTGAAGGATGTTAAGGTACTTCATCTCTGAATGTTCCCAGATCAGCGGGAGAGAGTGCTGAGTGTTCTGGCTTGATTGTAATGAGATGAGTTAGATAAGGCGCACAGTGTACTGTCGTGCGATCTGAAATCCTGTGTTATTCAACAGAAGATATGTACACTTCTGGATTATTTGTACACTCTCCATTATTTATCCTTATTGTGCGGTAAACATGGTCACATTTATAGAGCGAGAGAGAGAGAGAGAGAGAGCCTCATTACAGGCTCCTACAGAAAACACCATCATCAATGGCAGACATGTGATGCCTGCACTGCACAGTAGGCATTAAACCCGTTTACCCCATACACCATGCAGAAAGAAGCAGATGAATTTGACAGCTTTATTATTTACTTAATTAATCCTCTCTTCCTGTTGAGTCACTGGTCCGATCAAAGCATCACACCACTCACATATGCTGCAGTGAGAGAGCAGGGGCAATACTTGTGAATGGTTTAAATCCATGACGTGAGCAGAGCAGGAACACAAGGGCCTTTTAATTACCTTACAGCGGTGTTTGTGCAGGAACACTTCACATGGCCTGTGAGAAGGGCTGGGCAATGAATCCAGTTTCAATTTCAATAACAATTTTGGCTTCCCGACGATCATGAAAAGAAGGTAATCGAGATAAAACGATTACAATGCCACATGCCAGGTTGAGCTCGTTCTGTCCACAGGTTTTGTCGTGTGTGCTGAATGTTTGTTGTTTTATTTTGGCCACGAGAGAACAAAAACCTCAAACCTCAAAAACATACCGTAAAATCCGGAGTTTAAGTTGCACCGGTATTTAAGACGCAGTCTGTTTTCGAAGCTCTCTCAGAGAGAAAAAAAAAAGAAGTTTAAACTGTCTCCCTGCGTGACGATTTCTAATGTGTTCAATAACTTTAACAACGTGCAGTTTCTGTGCAGCTCTAGATGTTGTGAATTCAATGATTAATCATGTTTAATAATCCTGATCTGAGTATACGTTAAAATAATTGTAATTATGATTTTAGCCATGATTGAGCAGCCCTACCTGTGGGTGCATAAACAGTTTGTACACACGCACACACAAGACATACAGAAGACGAAGACCAGTTAATTTGATTCCTGATTTGAGTCACCAAGTAATT